ATACAAATTAACTATAGGATCAGTTATATATGTAGAGATATGGTACTATAGAATATACCAAACTAAATCTACTAAGCCTAATAGATGATTTTAAGCAATATAAGGATAATCTTAATTTTAAACATGACTTTTCTTCATACTCACCATTTTTAACCCTAACTGCCTTGTAAGATACAACTCCCCTGTATCATGAACTATTCTGTTTTATATTGTTACTGTTTGTGGCAGTGGTATTCATGTCAAGGGGGTTTTGAGGAAGAGTGTATTTGTCTGCTATGACATTATATCAGATCTACTTCATTATTCTTAATTCAATCTTCCTGTGGCTTATTTCTTAGCCTTTTACTTTCTAGACGATATGTCTAGTTTTTAAATAATTTATTTATCTTGTCCTATTACCATTTAATTTACTCTTCTTTATACCATCTCATGTCCATTGCCTCTTCCTTAAAGTGGAAGGGCTGATCCATATTTGTAGATGATGCATTAAAACATCAGAACTTTATATTTAGGATGTAATTTACGGGAACTTAATAAGTAGTCACCTTCTATCTATCATTTTAGGTTTCTGTTCCTGTATTCCTTTCCTGTCCAGCTTTAAAGCATTATACCATCTTGTGTTTTATCTCCTGCCTCTGAATTCAGAAGACCACATGTCTTTTTTGAATTTGGAAGTTTCTCTCATTAGAATTAATTTCTTTATGTATTATATGTGATGCCAAAATTATATATTTCTTGCAGAGAAGTGTTTTTTTTTTTTTTTTTTTTGAGTTCTCACTATGTCACCCTGGATAGAATGCAGTGGCATCACAGCTCACAGCAACCTCCAACTCTTGGGCTTAAGCAATTCTCTTGCCTCAGCCTCCCAAGTAGCTGGGACTACAGGCGCCCACCACAACAGCTGGCTACTTTTTGTTGCAGTTGTCATTTTTGTTTAGCTGGTCTGGGCCAGGTTCCAACCCATCAACTTGGGTATATATGGCTGGCGCCCTACCCACTGAGCTACAGATGCCACCAGAGAAGTGTTTTTTAAATTTCTTTTTGTTTTATTATATTTATTTCTTCAATTACAACAAAATACTCTGGTACAGTCCTGATGACAAAATTGGAAATAATTCTCTCTGGAGCCTTGATTGTGGCTCTGTATTTTTTCTTTTATTTTAATCTAAATAATGCTAATTCTCAGACCTTAATTTTCCTTCACTAGAACCAGATTGCTTCTTCTTAAAAATGTAGTCTACACATGTAGCATCCTGCCCTTTTCAATGAAATGATGTATATCAGCATTTGGTTTCCCAAAGTGTAAAGTCACACTTATGGCTGATAACCGTAAAATCACTCTACTAGACTTCTAGCACAGTGGCTTCTTAAAATTCATAGTTTAGCTCTACTCACCCAAAACTGTTGAAAATAAATGTATCTCTTGGTTAAATGCCATTTAGAGACAGTGTCATTTGAGTGTGTAAGAGGAGACATCTGTGTTTTCCAATTAGGTCTAAAACTGTGCTACCCAGTAGGGTTGGCACTAGCCATGTGCAGCCATCAAGCACATGAAATGTGGCTAGTCTGAAATGTACTATCAGAGGAAAATATATACAGATTTTTAAAACTTAGTGCAAAATAATAATTTTAATATTGATGTTTTATATATAACATATATATACACACACACACATATATATATATATTTTTTTTTTTTCTGAGACAGAGTCTTATTACATCACCCTCGGTAGAGTGCCATGGCGTCACAGCTCACAGCAACCTCCAACTCTTGGACTTAAGCGATTCTCTTGCCTCAGCCTCCCAAGTAGCTGGGACTACAGGCGCCTGCCACAATGCCCGGCTATTTTTTGTTGTTGTTGCAGTTGCCATTGTTGTTTAGCTGGCCCAGGCCCAAGTTTGAACCTGCCAGCCTCAGTGCATGTGGCCAGCACCATAACCACTGTGCTATGGGCACCAAGCCATTATTATATGTTGAGATAACATTTTTAATATATTGAGTTAAATGAAACATAATTAATTTTACCTGTTTCTTTTTACTTTTTTTTTTATTTTAGAAACAGTCTTACTCTGTCACCCCAGGGTAGAGTGCTGTCGTGTCTCAGCTCACAGCAACCTTAAACTCTTAAGCACAAGCAATCCTCCTGCCTCAGCCTCCTGAGTAGTTGTAACTATAGGCACCTGCCACAATGCCCAGCTATTTTTAGAAATGGCATCTCACTCTTGCTCAGGCTGATCTCGAACTCCTGAGCTCAGGCAATCCACTACTCCTGACCCTCTTTTTACTTTTTTAACATAGCAAAACTTTAAAGTACATATAGGGTTCACATTATACTTCTATTGGAAGCTCTAGTTTAGAAACTCATACATTCACTAGTGTTTGGCAGCTACTATCTCAGAATTGTGTTTCCAGAGGAAATTTGAGAGTAAAGTTCTTCAGTCTCTCTAAACCAAAAACATATTTAGTTTTCCTGAAACTAAGCACCTAAATGTAAACATATCAAAGTTAGGAAATGTATTAAGAATTTATTGGGTTTTTTTAGAGAGAGTCTCACTTTTTTGCTCTCAGTAGAGTGCTGTGGTGTCACAGCTCACAGCAGCCTCCAACTCTTGGGCTTAGGCAATTCTCTTGCCTTAGCCTCCTGAGAACTACAGGTGCCTGCCACAACACCAGACTATTTTTTTGTTGCAGTTTGGCTGGGGCCGGGTTTGAACCCACCACCCTTGGCACATGGCTGGCACCCTACTCACTGAACCATGGTGCCACCCAAGAATTTATTTTGAGGGCAGCCCCCACAGCTCAGTGGGTAGGGTGCCAGCCACATACGCTGAGGCTGACAGGTTTGAACCTGGCCTGGGCCAGCTAAAACAACAAAGGCAACTGCAGCAAAAAAAAATAGCCAGGTGTTGTGGCAGGTGCCTATAGTCTCAGCTACCTGGGAAGCTGAGGCAGGAGAATCACTTAAGCCCAAGAGTTTGAGGTTGCTGTGAGCTGTGATGCCACGGTACTCTACCAAGAGTGACAAAGTGAGACTCTGTCTCTTTAAAAAAAAAAAAGAAAAGAAAAGAATTTCTTTTGCAGGGCTGGAGAGGTAAGATAGGTTGTAGTCCATTGTAAGGGACTATTTTATTTGTTGTTTTTGTATTTTTTAAAGCCTTATTTGCACAGCTATGTCCAATCTATTCCTCAAATATTTTTTATATTTAAAAAGCCACTGTATAAATAGAACACTTGTGGCATTCTGCACCTTTGCAGCAACATAGAGCAACTTCTTTCCATAGAAGTCCCTGTGAATGACGGCATGTATCCAGCATGTTCATTCCATACATTATTTATGTCCTGACAACTAACAGCAAGAAGACTTGACCATTTGGGGGGTTTTTTTTGTTTTTGTTTTTTTGTTTTTTGTTTTTTAAGACTTGACCATTTGTAATTCAGTTAATAAAACTAGAGATAGATTCCTATACTTAATATCACCTGACTTGTGGTTTGAGGTGACTCAGTGGAAGTAATTTACATTAATAATATAGATAAATGAAGCATTAGAGCCAAAAAAAAATTTTAGAATTCCTAATGGTTTATGCTGATACTATTTTTGCTCTCGGGGTCTTTTTTTTTTTGCTGTTTTTGGCTGGGGCTGGGTTTGAACCCACCACCTCCAGTATATGGGGCCAGTGCCCTACTCCTTTGAGCCACAGGCACTGCCCCTCGGGGTCTTTTTATAATAGCTTCACTGATAGCCAGGCGTTGTAGCAGGTGCCTGTAGAGGTTGCTGTGAGCTGTGACGCTACAGCACTCTACCAAGGATGACATAGTGAGACTCTGTCTCAGAAAAAAAAATGCCTTCATTGAGATATAGTTCATATATCATACAATTTACCCTTTTAAAGTATATAGTTCAATGATTTGTAGGACCATATATTAACAGATTTTTACAGCCATCACCTCATTCTAACTTTAGAACATTGTCATTGTCACCCTAAAGAAAAAGCCCATAACCTTCCCCTGCCAGCCCTAGGCAGCCATTAATCTACTTTCTGTGGCTATGGATTCGCCTGTTCTAGCTGTTTCATATAAGTGGAACCATACAATATGGTCTTTGTGCCTGGCTTCTTTCACTTTGCGTAATATTTTCAACACTTAGCCATGTTGTAGCATGTATTATACACCATTGCTTTTTGTGGCCACATAATATTCCATTGTATGAACATATCACATTTTATCCATTCATTGGTCTACAGAATATGACTGATACTTTTTTAACACTTAAAAATTAATGGAGTTAATATTTACATTTAGTAAAAGCCTTCCCATATGTTCTTATATTGAGCCTCCAAGAATTTTGTTTGTGTATCGTTATAGTCACCATCATTATAGGTGAAGAAGTGGAGGCTCAGAAAGCCTACGTAAGTTTCCTAAAATCAAATAGCAATTAAGTACTAGAACTTAGACTCAAAAACCCAGTTTATCTGACTCTGAAACACATCTGCAATACCCTGTGCAATCCCTTGGTGATTTTGTTTTAAAGCAGAATTACTTAGTAGCTACAGTTTTTTTGCTGACTTTTTCTTTGCTTGATTTACTATACTGTTAGATATGGGATATGGACTTGAAAAAAATTTTAATGTGGCCTCTCCCAACACATTTGTGGATAAGCTGGGAGTGTATTTTAGGTGATAATATACCCCAGTAACTTTAGCAACAGATATGAAAATTGTATAAGAAGCAATGTGCTCAAATGATCAATGTCCATGTATGGGGACAGGTCGAGGGTGTGTTGGAGGACTCACATCTTTTATCTATCCCATGAAAAACTTTTATTAGTGACCTAGGTAAAGCTATGTTTATATTAGAAGGTCTATCATATTTGTAGGAGTCCCAAGATTGAAATTATTTGAATTTTATATATCTGGTTATGTCATACACAGAGAATATGCATGATAAAATCCTTTAGTAGTGGTAACATATATTCCATGTTGGATTCCTTTTTTTCCTTTAGGGTTCTGTAGCTATAGCTGGTGCTGTTATTCGCTGGCTAAGAGACAATCTTGGAATTATAAAGACCTCAGATGAAATTGGTGAGTATGCTTTAACAAAGGTTTAGGAAATCTGAAGACTGAAACATTTCAGTATTTTATCTTTGCAATCTATAAATACTTATTCTTTGCCCTGAATGTGATCCATATATTACATGGATCCATATTATGAGTTTGACTTATATAGAGAAGACTATTTCATGAAGATTTATAAAACAATGAATTGACACAATTAGTGGTGGTTATTAATAAACTGGCAAGGTAGGACATAAAAATTACCCAAGTGTAAAATTGAACACTGGAGATTGCCAGAATCTGCAGGTAAAGTGCTCTAGTTAAATTTATCTGATGAGAAAGAGCTTTAAGTCCTAGATTAGCGTGCACATTAAAACTCTGGTACCTTTAATTTAAGTATTAATATGGCTATTTTCAGTCTATGTATAATTAGTTTGAACTTAACTACCCTTTTATCTACTTGTTTAACTTTGCTGGAAGGTGAGACAATCAGACTTACTTTTCTGATTTGGAACACACTAGAGACCACTTTTTCATCTTTTAGTCAGCAACTTTAATAATAAAAAAAATGGGCTCAGTACCCCTACCTCAGTGGTTAGGGCGCTGGCCACATACACCAAGGCTGGCGGGTTCGAACCCAGCCTGAGCCTGCTAAACAACAGTAACAACTACAACCAAAAAATAGCCTGGCATTGTGGCAGGCGCCTGTGGTCTCAGCTACCTGGGGGGCTGAGGCAAGAGAATCGCTTAAGCCCAAGAGTTGGAGGTTGCTGTGAGCTGTGATGCCACAGCACAAAATGAGACTCTGTCTCAAAAAAAAAAAAAGAAGAAAACTAAAATAAGAGAAATGACATAAAATACCTAAAGAATTGAATCCAGTTTCGTTATTTCTTGAGCTAGGTTATATTTTAGTGCGGGTGTTTAATGTGGGGGAACTTGTTTTTGTTGCCCCTGGCATAATACTATAATTGGTAACATTTTGCTCTACCAATGAAATCAGAAACTAAAGTCCCTGTCCTAATTTTAAAATAGGTATATTTATTTAGTAAAATAGAATATTAGTGTGATTTTTGTTTTTCCTTTTTTTTTAATGTTAGAAAAACTTGCTAAAGAAGCAGGTACTTCTTATGGCTGCTACTTCGTCCCAGCATTTTCAGGATTATATGCCCCTTATTGGGAGCCCAGTGCAAGAGGGTGAGTATTGAAAATTCCGTGTTTCTTGAGGTCTTGATTTATTTACTAAAGTAGTTAATAATGATTTGAAAGTGTTGAGAAAACTCCTAATATAATTTCAGAACCTTTAAGTTCCAAGAAGTTATGAATCGGCTGACAATAAGCCCTGCCATATCCATTTTCATGTTAGTGCTTTTATCTTTTATCTTTAGTGGTTCTCAACCTTCCTAATGCCACGACCCTTTAATACAGTTCCTGTGGGTCTCGACCCACAGGTTGAGAACCGCTGATCTAAATGAATACTGGAGTGCTGCTTTGGTTTTATGTCAGTGTCATTTATACAGATTGATCGTGAACTTTTTCATCTGTGAATACAGAATTGTGAACTATCAGGACTTTATGAGTTACTTAATGATTATGTCCAGTTTTCTTTTCCTAGATTTTTCTATCTACTAAATTTCACCTTTCCATAATTTAAGATTGATGATTTGTTTATGCCACTCTAATCTGAAAATCTTTGTGTTTATTTTTAGGATAATCTGTGGACTTACTCAGTTCACCAATAAATGTCATATTGCTTTTGCTGCATTAGAAGCTGTTTGTTTCCAGACCCGTGAGGTAATACATATGGGCCTGTTTTCTTGTGGTTAGCTCACTTTTATCACTCTTAAACAAATTGTATAGTAAGGCCTAAAATGTATTAAATACTGAAAATGTAGTTAATCAAATCAACCTGCCTAAACACGAATCTAATGTAAGCACTCTGCCCTCCTCCTTCAGCTGTCATTAGCTTTTAGTGTTATCTGCCACACCCTGGGTACAAAGAAAATGGCACAAACATAGGAATCAAGGCGGAAAAACAGGGTGTGAAATGGAGTTGTTTGGCTTTGCTGATTACCAGGGGATGCAGAGGTCTAGGGAGAAAGAAGATGGCTGTGACCAGATCAAGGAGGAGTTGGAAGACCAGAATAAGAAGTCTCAATTTTATTCTATAGACTATTAGAAGCTCTTTTTCCTCCCTATTTATTTTTAATTTATATATATTCATGGGGTACAAGTTCTCAGAAGCTCTTGAGATCTTTTTGAGTAAAGGATTACCATTTTTAGAGATATTATTATAAACTAGTTTCATAATGTTCATTGTATTGGTTTATTTAAGATTTTGGATGCCATGAATCGCGACTGTGGGATTCCACTCAGTCATTTGCAGGTAGATGGAGGAATGACCAGCAACAAAATTCTTATGCAGCTACAAGCAGATATTCTGTATATTCCAGTAGGTTAGTATGCCTTCATTCCTTTAAGCTCCCGGAGTAATGTTTCTTTCAGAAGAACTAGTTCTTTAGGCATATGTAACTGCAAAGATGTTGACGTAGCTCTCTCCCCTCAGTGAAGCCCTCGATGCCCGAAACCACCGCACTGGGCGCTGCCATGGCAGCAGGGGCAGCAGAAGGAGTCGGCGTTTGGAGTCTAGCACCCGAGGATCTGTCAGCTGTCACAATGGAGCGTTTTGAACCTCAGATCAACGCTGAGGGTACATTTAAAGAATGAAACTTTTAATGGTATACTGTGAAGTGCCTTAGTGTGAGGGGGTTTACCTTTCTGCTTATAAGGTAATAAGAAGGGGGGGTTTACCTTTCTGCTTATAAGCTTATAAGAAGCTAAGTAAAATAGCAAATGTTATTGTTTCAGATTCAACTACTAAGCATATTGGGCTATACTGAGTAAGTGTGAGTGAAAGAGATAGTTCCTTATCTTAAAAACTTCTAAAATCATTGTTTAAAAACCATTCATTTCTACTGTTCATGGTTCTTTTGTAGGACAATAACACTGCTACTGTCAGTTATAGCTGGTTAGAATATTCTATGTATTTACTTCTTTATTTAGAGACAGAGACTCAGCTCTGTGCCCGTAGCACAGTGGTTATGGTGCTAGCCACATACACTGAGGGTGGTAGGTTCGAACCTGGTCCGGACCAGCTAAACAACAATGACAACTGCAACAAAAAAATAGCCGGGTGTTGTGGCAAGCACCTGTAGTTCCAGTTACTTGGGAGCTGAGGCAAGAGAATCGCTTAAGCCCAAGAGTTCGAAGTTGCTATGAGCTGTGACACCACGGCACTCCACCTAGGGTGATATAGTGAGACTCTGTCTCAAAAAAAAAAAAAAAGGAGAAACAGAGACTCACTCTGTTGCCCACGATAGAGTGCCATGACCATCAGCCTAGCTCACAGCAACTTCAGCTGCTCAGCTCAAACGATCCTCCTACCTCAGTCTCCTGAGTAACTGGGACTACAGCCACCTGCCACAGTTCCCGGCTAATTTTTATTCTCAGAACCAGCCTGACCAAGGGTCTTACTTGAACTCCTGAGCTCAAAGGATCCTCCTGCCTCAGCCTCCTATAGTACTGAGATTATAGGTGTGAGCCACTGTGCCTATCCTTTCTTAAAAGTGAGAAAGGTGACTTGGCGCCTGTGGCTCAAGCAGCCTAAGGCACCAGCCACGTATACCTAAGTCGCGGGTTCAAATCCAGCCTGGGCCCACCAAACAACAATGACAGCTACAACAAAAAATAGCTGAGCATTGTGGCAGGCGCCTGTAGTCCCAGCTACTTGGGAGGCGGAGGCAGGAGAATCACTTGAGCCCAGGAGTTCGAGGTTGCTGTGAGCTGTGATGCCACAGCACTCTACCCAGGGCGATAGCTTGAGGCTCTGTCTCAAAAAAAAAAAAAAAGTGAAAAAGGGGATGTATCAGTCACCCATCCCTAAATGTATATACCAGCACCTTTGGTGCAAATGGCCTGAATTTAGGACATGTTGATCTGGGCTGACAGATAGTCAATAACTTATAAGTACAGCAAGAGGTGCCTGATGAGGGCAATAACAAGTTAGGTAAATGAGCATTAAATATCTAATTCATTTTCCTAACAAGCTAAGCCATAAGCTCTAATTAAACCCTTTACTGAAATACAGTAATAAACTTTTTTTTTTTTTTGAGACAGAATCTCACTATGTCATCCTTGGTAGAATGCCATGGTGTCATAGCTCACAGCAACCTCAGAGTCTTGGGCTTAAGCAATTCTCTTGCCTCACCCTCCCAAGTAGCTGGGACTATAGGCGCCCACCACAACACCCAGCTATTTTTTGGTTGTAATTGTCATTGTTGTTTGGCAGGCCTGGGCTGGATTCTAACCCACCAGCTCTGGTGTATGTGGCTGACGCCTTAGCCGCTTGAACCATAGGCGCCGAGCCTAGTAATACACTCTTAAATTGAAATAAATGTGAATAGAAAAATAAGATATTATATGTTAAATTTGGTTTTATAATTTTTAGAAACTCATACCTAAAATAGTATCAAAGTGGATCTTGAGCTTTTGGGAAATAAGCTTTGAAATGTATTTCTATTTAGTTTTCTGGAAGATTATGCAGTATTTCTTTTTTTCTTTTTTTTTTTTTTTTGGAGACAGGGTCTCACTATGTCGCCCTGGGTAGAGTGCCATGGTGTCGCAGCTCACAGCAACCTCAAACTCTTGGGCTTAAGTTATTCTCTTGCCTCAGCCTCCCGAATAGCTGGGACTACAGGCACCTGCCATAACGCCCAGCTATTATTATTATTTTTTTAATTGTCATTGTTTGGCAGGCACAGGCTGGGTTCAAACCCGCCAGCTCCAGTATATGTGGCTGGTGCCCTAGCTGCTGAGCTGCAGGCACTGAGCCTATGCCAGCGTTTCTTAATTTTACTCATTCCTTTCCATATACAAGAAAATAAATTATAATATTAGTAATTTCATAGTCAGACAGTATTCCATATACCTTGATATAGAAATGTCTTTCAAAATCCAATATTCTATTATCTTTAATTTTTGCAATACTGGATAAAATATGAAGTTCAAAACTTTTTTCTTTTCTTCTTTTTTTTTTGAGACAAGAGTTTCACTCTGTTACCCTGGGTGGAGTGCAATGATGTCATCATAGCTCACTGCAGCCTCAAACTCCTGGGCTCAAGTGATCCTTCTGCCTCAGCTCCCTGAGTATCAGGGACTATGGATGCACACCATGACATGGGTCTAATTTTTCTATTTTTAGTAGAGATGAGGTCTCACTCTTTCTCAGCTTGGTCTTAAACTGATGACCTCAGATAATCCTCTCATCTCTGCCTCCCACAGTGCTAGAATTCCAAGTATGAGCCACCATGCCTAGCCTCAAAATTTTCTAGTTTTGAAAAAATAATCAACTCTTCTTTTTTTTTTAGAGACAGAGTCTCACTTTGTCGCCCTTGGTAGAGTGCTATGGCATCATAGCTCACAGCAACCTCCAGCTGTTGGGCTTAGGCGATTCTCTTGCCTCAGCCTCCCAAGTAGCTGGGACTACAGGTGCCCGCCACAATGCCTAGCTATTTTTTTGTTGAAGTTTGGGTGGGGCCGGGTTCGAACCTGCCACCCTTGGTATATGGAACTGGCGCCCTATTCACTGAGCCACAGACGCCGCCTAATAATCAACTTTTTAATAAGCAAATAACATTCAGAGCAGGTGTATGGCTTCCAAATTAATCCCACTCTTAAAACACAGAAGTTTTATGCCAAGGATTGCTGTTTTCTAAGGAGAACCATCTTTGCTGTTATTGAAGGCCTTAGCCTGGAGATCGGTTATACCAATTGTCCTCCCTCTCACCAGCACCACTTACACTCATGGGTACCTAGGTATAGATAGCTCATTCTTCTAGAAAACAGTTGCTTAGAGACAACTACAGTCCAGAGACTGTCATAACATGAGGGTATAGAGATAAATAAGGCCAAGTCCTTCACTTCAGAAGACTCAAGTGTATTGGGAGAAGTAGGCAAAAACCATAAAAATTCACTGTGGCAGCTGACACCCTGAGGTATCCATGAAGTGCTGTGGGGGGTGATTAAAAGTGATTCACTGGAACCCTTTCTCAAGCCAACAATCCTTGAGTTTTGTCTCCTGGGTGTTGCACACTTCAGGTGCTGTGGAAAGGCCAGGAGGCTTGAGAAAAGAGCGGGCCCCATGCATGATTTGGCAACCTCAGGAGAAGTGCAGCGTCGATGCTTAGTTTTGTTCAGTCATCCTGTTGTAGGTTTTGACCTTAGAGAAATTCTGCTTCTAAATTCCAGGGGAGTTGGGGAGGGCTATCTCACAGGAGTGCTATTGAATCTTATGAGAAATCAATATTTGTTGAGTCCTCTGCCTGGGCGAAAACCAAGTCTCCTTTTAGTCTTTCCACATCATAGCATACCTCTTCTCTGGGTCAAGCCTTCCTCTCCTCCCAAAAGAGAAACCATATCAAATGGGATTTTCCTTTCTAATTCATCAACGCCTGTGAGTGGCCTGGTGTGCATAGCGGGTATTCCATCTCCTGATCGCCCTTCAACCTGCTGAATTTCCCTTGTCCTTCAGTCCAGCTTCCAAGCAAGCCCTCTCTTCCAGTCACTGGTAGTTGCCAATAACCATGTGCTTCCAAATCTGAGTCCTGGTAAAGCCCCACTCCGGTTTAATGTTGTGCAACCATATGGCAAGAAAACTGAGTGATCATAAGTAGAGTACTTCGAACATCTCAGCAAACCACCTTTCATATGTGTGTTTTTCCTACCTTCTAATTCTAGAAAGTGAAATTCGTTATTCTACTTGGAAGAAAGCTGTGAAGAAGTCAATGGGTTGGGTTACAACTCAGTCTCCAGAAAGCGGTAAAAAATGTTTTTATTTATTATTGCTACTTTTTTTAGCATGGTAAATAGTTGATTAAGTATCTAGGTATTTATACTTAGGCTGTTCTGAAAAACAGCATTATCAAATGTCCAAAGTTTCCAACATTTTGAGACACTTTAAAGTTCTAAACATAAAATGTAAATTATCAGGTTGATATACATACTTGATCCTGCTCTTTCCTTTTTAGTGTATTCCTGGCACTTCAATTGATAAGTCTTCTAAAAGTAAAATTACTTCTAGTTTCTTTTTAATGAAAGAGAAATAACTTCTTAATAAAAGAGAAATCAACTGCAGTCTTCTTTGCCCCTTCTTTCTTACTTAACCTTTTTGGGGGGCTGTGTTTATGACTTAAATCAACTGAAAGTTATAAATTTCAGAATATATTCTGTTACCTCCTAGGCCGATTCCAAGTAGTTAAGGAAAGTATGTAATGGGAATTCCTGTGGAATCAAAGAGGAAGAAATGTACCAAACATAGCAAAGTATAAGTGTTGTAATAGGTTGGGAAATACTCTTGGCCAAAAAAAAAAAAAAAAAAATTAAGAGCTATTTTATCTTTTAGTCACTTACGTAGGGAGGTGTGTGGCTTAAGTAAACCATTTAGATGTAAACAGTCTTAAACTGACTTTAATATGGCATAATATTATAATTCTTTGCTAAGTACAAGATTTGAAACATCATAATTAGAACAATGGCCAATAGTAGATTGAAGCTTACACTTTAAGGGAGAAGAGTTTATAAATGAAATAATGCTTGCTTTCTAACCCCAAAGTAAGTATAGAACCACTTTTAACATATTGGCTTTTAGGAAAAGGTTCTGGAACCATCCACTATCACAGATCACTATGATCTATATTTTCAATCCTGGGTATTCCTAATTGAAGCCTTTGTTTTTTTCTCCTAAGTAAGCACAATATCCTTTTTCTTAACTTTCTTTGTTCTGAGACTCAGCTTTCTTTCCTAAGATGGTTTGTAAAGTTTTTCTTGCTATGACTGCAATTTTGAGAGCCCTTTTACAATCAAACTTTGCAATTGTCAGCACTTTTCTAGCACAGTGCTGGTTGCCACAGTGCTAGGTGCTGTGAGATGTAGCAGACATGGTTCTTGACTTTTCTAGTTGGCCTTAATTGAGAAGCTGAGTTACATAATTTCTTTGACTAACTGGATTTTTTTTTTTTTTTTTTTTTGAGACG